GCAATGTTATTTGTGGTTGCAGCTCCGTTGTGTATCCTAAAATCCATATTTTTTGCTCAGGAGGGCTCGGTATTTTTTAGTTATTCGGGCTCAACGGATCCGGACGGTTGGATACGGCGAATTATGCCCTGGAATGTGTTCACCGAGAATGGTGAACACAAGGCCAAACGACGTCGTTTTTAGGCAAAAAAAAAAAAAAAAAAATCGCGGATGTGGAGTTAACGGCGCGCGTTGATCAAAATTATGAATTTTCTGTTATGAGATTATGAATTTTCATAAAATTCATAATCGCATAACAGAAAATTCATAATCGCATAACAGAAAATTCATAATCTCATAACAGAAAATTCATAATCTCATAACAGAAAATTCATAACCGCATAACAGAAAATTCATAATCTCATAACAGAAAATTCATAATCTCATAACAGAAAATTCATAATCTTATAACAGAAAATTCATAATCTCATGGTTCCAAAGTGAATGTGTAGGCATGTTTCCAAAGTGAATGTGCAGGCATAGATTCATAATTTATGAAAATCCGTGATTTCGGACGAGAATGTGTAGGCATGGTTCCAAAGTGAATGTGCATGCATGAATTCATAATTTATGAATGTTCGAAATCATTGCTCACCTCAAATTAAAGTGAAACCGCAAAATGTGAAAAGATAGAAGAAAAGTCACGCAATTAATTAAGAAAAACAACAAAAAAAAAAAAAAAAAAAAAAAAGATAACGGTGTACTAACACCGTTAGAACCGTGTTCACCATGAATGGTGAACACGGTTCCATGGCATAACGACTCGTTGGAAACACCATTGTGTTCAGGTTCATCATTTCGGCAATTTATATCCTACACCACGGCGCGCGTTGCACTATGCGCCCAGATGCAAAACGACGTCATTTTAATAATTTTTTTTTTTTTTTGAAATTTCCCGCCCCAGTGAATGGCAGTAGTTTTTCCTTTAAAAAAAAAAACCCCGCTGTTCAAGAATGTACATAATGTTATACTAGAATACACATAATTGTATACATGAATGTACATAATTATATAACAAAATATACATACTCTTTTTAAAAGATAATACACATAATCTAACATAATACATAACAAACATAAACTTTTAACATAATACACATCAACTCTTAACATAATACACACAAATTTTCTGATTCGGATGTACATAATTGTATAAAAAGAATGTACATAATTGTATAAAAAATGTACATAACTGTATGAACCAATACACATAACTGTATGAACAAATACACATAACTTTGTGAACAAATACACAAAATTCCAGCAACTTCCTACCGCGCCTCCCAAAACGACGTCGTTTTGGAAGGCGCGCGGCGCATAGTGCTATGTGCGCCGTGGTGTAGGGTATAACGATTGCATCATTTCAGCAAATATCAAATAATATCAAATTATCTAATTTTCTCAAAATTATGTAATCCACATATAATTTGATGGGCCAAAACCAAGTCAAATCCGCTAATTAAGCAGCCTAATTAATCGAAACGGTCTGGTTCAACTCAATTAAATATTCGACCATCTTAGACCGAACAATTTAACACCAATTACATTTAATTAAGTAATTAGACTAATTTTCAAAAAAAAAGTAATTAGACTAATTAATTATTCATTGGGCCATTTAATTAACCCAATTAAATAAATATTAGACCAACTTACTCAATTAAAGTAATTAATTATCAACCGAGGCCCAATAACACACAAATCAACGGAAAATTATTGTGTGGACCCGACAATTTACATCCTGCAACAGGTCGCGCATTGCATTGTGCGCCTTAATGCAAAACGACGTCGTTTCAGTTTTTTTATTTTTTTTTATTTTTATTTTTATTTTTTTGAAATTTCACTACCCTGTGTTGGTGGTTAAGTTTCTTTTTAAAAAAAAATCTCATGTTCAAAAATGTACATAATTTTATACTAGAATACACATAATTGTATACATGAATGTACATAATTGTATAACAAAATACACATACTTTCTTTTAAAAGATAATACATATAATCTAACATAATACATAATATACATAAACTTTTAACATAATAAACATCAACTCTTAACATAATACACATAAATTTCCTGTTTCGGATGTACATAATTGTATAAAAAAGATGTACATGATTGTATAAAAAATGTACATAATTGTATAAATAAATACACATAATTGTATAAACAAATACACATAATTGTATAAAAAAAAACACATAATCACGTCAACTCCCTACCTAACTTACCAAAACGACGTCGTTTTGGGAGGCGCCGGGCGCACAGTGCTACGCGCGCCGTGATGCAGTATAACAATTGGTTCCACTTAGTGTTATGTGGACCATAACAAAGAGTACATTTTTAATATACTAAATGTACATTCTTTTTGTACTGAATGTACATTATACAATATAATATACCCTTAGTACAAGAATAATGTACATCCCCTAAATACAATGTACGTTATTTTTGTACTGAATATACATTATTTTTGTACTAAATTGTACATTATTTTACTTAATAAAAAATATGGTCCACACAATTTGTAAGAACCATTATCCACAATAATGACTGCAAATCAACCCACCATGATCCACAATAATGTTTGCAAATCAACCCATTTGATTTTTCAACGCTAACATTAGTATTTTATGATTTTATACCAACTGGGGCAAAACTTTTCTTGGCAGGTTTTGATATAGGTTGATCTATATATACATATATGTGAGAAAGTGCACACAAAAAGTGTAGAATAGGAAGAGGGGATTTGGCAGAGAAAATGGCAATGTTATTTTTGGTTGCAGGTCTGTTGTGTATCCTAAAACCCATATCTTTTGCCCAGGAGGGCTCGGTATTTTTTAGTTATTCGGGCTCAACGGGCCCGGACGGTTGGGGTAGTTTAAGCCCGGACTATGCAACGTGCTCCAGTGGAAGTTCACAGTCCCCCATCAACATCGTTAACGGCGAGGCAGTGATAAACTCCAATTTGAATGCCTTGGATATACAATTCCGTGACTCCGTTAGTGCTACTTTGGTTAACAATGGCTTCAATGTTCTGGTCAGTTTTTTGTTTTTTTTTTCACTAGAATGATATTATATTGTCATTTTGCTTAATGAGACTAATTTAAGTGAGTATTGGTCAAACTTCAGATGCGTTTCGATGGAGATGCAGGAGAGTTGGTCTTCGGCGGTAAAAATTTCGCCTTGAAGCAAATGCACTGGCATTCTTCTTCTGAGCACCAAGTTGACGGAACTCAGTATACCCTCTTTCTACTCAAACTTATTTCTTGACACCTAACACAACATCATGTAATTCTTTTTAAAAAGTTGAATCTCCAATTCAAGGGACACAGGGCCAAATGCCGCTGTGCACAAGAAATTTGTCCACTTTAAACATAATACCCATACTACGACTATCGTGTTTTGAACCTTAATTTCTTATCCTAAATATATACTTATTAAACCAGTGAGCTAATACGGTGTAGGCACATCAAGTATATTAAACATTTGGAATGTTTATTTATATAAGTAAGTGATTGCAGATATGCGGGTGAGATTCACCTAGTCCACAATGCGGCAGATAGCAGCGTGGCTGTGGTATCAGTTCTCTTGCAATCAGGCCAATCTGATCCCATTATTGCCAAGGTGATCAAACTTTTACCCTGATGGTTTGCATACTTGAGACGAGACGACATACATGTTTTGTATGGGTTATAAGCTAAAATTCTATGAGAAAATAAGATTGTGGTATTAATCTCTAATTTCATTCATGCAATTGGTGTGTTAATTGGTGTTGGATCAGGTACAACAACAATTAGATGAGTTACCAAATAAACAGTCAAATGAAAGTCCACCTGAAATTGCATTGGGAAATGTAAATATTCAAGAATTAAGCGGATTAACCACTACGGATAAATACTATACTTATACCGGTTCTCTCACTACTCCCCCATGCACGGAAGGTGTTACATGGATAGTTATAGAAAAGGTACAAGATAAATAATTTTTTTAAAAATATTTTCATAATTAATTATCATTGATGGTTTTTTTTATGGGTTTAACGGCAAAAATGAATTTCAGATTGGCTCAATCTCAAATGATCAAGTTGAAGCTCTGAAACGTCCCATGGACGATGGTAGCAAGACTAATGCAAGACCAGGGCAGGCCATGAATGGACGAAGCGTGGAGGCTTACCAAGCTTAATTTTCTTGAAAACTCGGTCCAAGTACGAATACGTGAAATTGTTAACCCGATCATTTCAACTATGTGGAGTTTAGTTGACTCTCAAATACTATAAAAAAAAAAAAAAAAAAAAAAAAACTACTGTATTTTTTCTAATAAGGATGGTTGATTCAGATGTATAGACAGCCATCCAAATAAAATTCTCACCAAATAAATAAAATAAATTGCTAGTTGAGATATAAAGAAAAAAGAGTAATATGATACATGTTTTTACTTTTTTACTTGGCATACTCTTATTTATTTTCGTTCCATCAATAAAAATGATATTGGAAGGTTAGTGAAGGTGAAATATATAAAAGTTTATGTTTAATTTTACATCAGTTAATTTAGTTTTAACTAATATTTATATTTATTAACTACAGAACAAAAATTTAAACATAAAACAAATTAAAGAAAATATATAAAAAGAAGTGATTTAAATTTTAAATAATAAGTGTGTTGGGATGAATGAGACAAAAAAAAATAAAGTAAAAAAAAAAAATTAAAAGACTTTCATTTGAAACAATATAGTTATTTTCTGCGGTAAAATTGTTGTAAGTATCATGCTCCATCAAAACCCAAGTCTATTTACATCCCCAGAATTACTGAACTGTCATGGTAAATAAAGCTACTGGAAAGGAAAAGAAAAAAAAAACAAAAAAAAAACAAAAAAAAAAAAACAAAACATTTATACTAGCAAGTCAACGATAAGGAACAGAAATTGAACGTGCCACGTCGGATCGACAGCTCACCACGGCGGTGATCAATTTCTCGCTTTGGGTCCCACCCGAGCAGCGTCTGCGTCAAAAGTCTCCGAAATCACCGCGCTAATTTCGTCCGCTCCCCACGACTGCGACCTCCGCCCGGATGCGAACCGGTTCATCAACCCCAACCCGGGCGGCTCAGCCACCGGTTCAGTACTTATCGGAATTTCACGAGCTTTTTTTGTCTTCACGCTCTTCCTGGCAGGCACTGGCGGCTCCCCCTTTCGTTCCTTTTCAACTTTCTTCGCCGATTTATGATTCCGGTCTGACAGGAACATGGATACGAACCGGGAATAGAACCCGAGCTTCCGGTTCTCTCGGCCGCTCCGGGATCTTTCCACCGGTTTCTCCCTCTTGGAAGAGGATCTTCTCCGGCGGCGCTTCGATCTTACTCTTCCCATACACGAAACCTTCGGAGACGACGGTTCGGCAACCGGTTTTCCTATAGACTCGGTCCGCCTCGGCGGAAATAGCCGGATATTCGCCGGCTTATTGCACGTCCTCCGTTTAGACTCGGCGTAGGTCGTCTTCTGACCTTTGGGCAGCCCGATGATGGAAGCTTTGGGCTTCAAAAACCTCTGGGAGCCCGAATTCGAACTCGGGTGGGTCGTCGTCGGGTTCGGATTGATACCTTTCGTGGACTCCTTCCGCTCCAGGAAAGCGTTTCTGTCGAACCAGTCAAACTCGGCATCTTTTGATAGCCAGAACGACTCCGGTGGAAAATCCGGAGTCACTTCCTTTTCTTCGACGTCGTCGGAATCGTCCTTGTCGTCGCCGGCTCCGTCTTCAGCCAATGTCTCGCATGCGATTTTCCGGTCAGCTCCTCCGCCTGCGCAGGCGGAGACCAGGGTTTCAAGATCAACCTGAGGCATTGTGGAGAAAGAATGAGGGGAGGGGAAGACGACTTCTGGGGATTGGGGAGGAGGAAGAAAATGCGTGAGTTGTGAGTGAAAGAATTTTTAAGAGACGTGAGTCTTAAAGTACATATATATATATATATATATATATATATATATATATATATATATTTAAGGGAATTTATTTGTTCACAATTACTCCGCATATTGATCGTGCCTGATCAGAGTAATAATATACTAATATGATAAGGGGTGTTGGATTCAAGTCAAGATTATTTAAGTAATATGACTATGGTAATTTATATTAGAGCTAATATCATTTTTTGTCTTAAATTTATAAGTATCAGTCAATTTTTTTTTTTTTTTTATTTTAGAGTTAATTTCATCGGAGATTCTTTGTTTTTGGCAGCAATCTCAAATTTAGTCGCAGACTATCACTTTTGTCATTTAATATCCTTGGATTATTATTTTTTGGACACTTTTAGTCCTTCTCGTGACTTTTACAATTTTTAGTAAGGACATTTTTATCTTTTTCATGTTTTTCTTTTGTTATTTTTCCGGTTCCAACAGATTTAATTGGTTTAGAACTTTAGGTAACCTTTGATTTTTAGTAATCATATTTTTCAACCGATTTTTAGTAAATTCATAAACCAATTAAACCGGTTGAAACCGGAAAAATAACAAAAGAAAAATATAAAGAGACAAAAATTCCCTTACTAAAAATAGGAAAAGTCATGAGAAGGACTAAAACTGTCCAAAAAATAATAGTCCGCGATGTTAAATGACAAAAACAATAGTCTGGAACTAAATTTAGAATTGTCACCAAAGACAATGGAACTCTGATGAAATTAATTAACTCTTTTTTTTTTAATATAACATTACTTAAAATATAACATTCAAACAAACAAGTTAATATTATGTTTCCACAATTCAATCCAAACACAGAAGTTAATCTTACATTCCTAAATTTTAACATGAAAAATACTTGGTGTACTCTCATTTTATACTCCCAACTTGTACTCCCTCTCACATGTTCTTGATTTAGACATTTTTCTGTGAATCCACATGCTGAAAATAACCAATCCTGGTTTGCCACCTCAGGGAGTACAATTTGGGAGTCTATGTAGTAGAAATCTTTTAACATTACTTTTCATTCTCTCAAGAAGTAATCATATTACTTAAAATAATCTCACATGTCATGAACCAAAAACCACCTAATAGTATTCTATATACTTGATATATTCATATTTTTTTTTTGGGTGACAAGAAAAATTAAACTTGCATGTATTATCCAATGGTGTACATTGGTGAACCTCGTTCTTGAATAATAACTAACAAATCAAATAGAAAAAGTAAATCACACTAAGAAAATTATGTGTAATGAATTCAATCGGAAGGGTGTTAGCAAAAATCTAATCCCTAGCGTTAATATTTAATTATACTAAGTAATATTGATATCAGTATCAACAATAGACAAAAGTCAATATATATTTATTGTTGAGAAAATTTCAATTTTGGTCCACTGACTATTGCACTTGTGTTAATTGCAACACTTGACTTTCAAAAATGTTAATTTAGTACCTTGACTATGCAATTTCTATCAATTTTGGTCACGCCGACCAAATTGCCGGCCAAATCTCAACAAAAAAATTTAATAAGTCAACTAATGAGGGTATTTTAGTCATTTTACTTATTTTTTTCTTTCTTCTCCCATGAGCTTCTCCATTTCCAGTGAGCTTCTACATTTCCGGCGACCAATACCTTCAATTCTTCGCCCAATGTACTGAGATTTATTTTCTCCCTGTTGGGTTGGAGAGGGATTTGGCTTGGCTGGGAAGGGAAGGGAACGAATGCTTTTGAGTTCCTAGTCGCCGACACCATTCCGGCCTGAGTTCAAAGATATAGAGAGAACGACGAACACGTGAGTTGTGGTGTGCACATGGCAAAGCGCGTATACCAAGTTTGGAAAGGAAGCAACGTGAGAATTTTGTCTTTTCTTGCTTTTGTAATCTCGCCATGGCAAATTAACAAAGGTGGATTAACGAAGACCACTGATGGATTTAATTAACTCAGGGTGGACCCGAATCAATAAATCCGGATAAGAACGTAATATAATAAATAATAAACGAAATATAGAACGATGTCGTAAAGGTTGATGGGGACCGTATATTATATTAATTGCCGTAGTATTTGGCTATTACAAAGATCCGATAGGACAGTGTGTAATAAGTGTAGAATATGTAATGAATCGCCCTTTTTTAGGACAAGGAGGGGGTTTTTTATACAAGCCAAACCCCCCAACCGCCTCCCTTTAAATCGGGGGTGGTTAGATCTCAAGTTTGACCGGGCCCGGGTGGACCGGGTCGTGTCGGGTCCCGGGCTCGGGTGGTGCCGGGCTCGGGTATGACCGAGCTCCACGTAGGTCGGCTTGGGTCGGGGCACCTCCATGGTGCTCCGGGTCCGTGTTGGTCTTGGGCACCTCCACGGTGCCCCGGGTCCGTGTTGCTCCTGGGCTCCAATGTGGTGCCCCGGGTCCATGTTGCTCCTGGGCACCTCCGTGGTGCCCCGGGTCCGCGCTGCTCTTGGGCACCTCCGTGGTGCCCCGGGTCCGTGTTGCACTTGGGCTCCACCAAAGTGTTCCGGGTCCGTGTTGCTACCCCGGGTCGGGTCGTGGGTATAATATATCCATCATCAGTCTCCCACTCTCTTCGTTGCGAGTAGGAGTCAACGAATGAGAGTATCCGTGCGTCGACCCGAGCCCCCTAGGTGGAAAATTTCGAGCTCCAAATTTTAGCTGAGGTGCCTTATGCCAAGGCGTCTTGGGCCGAGGTGTCATGAACCGAGGGCGTGATGCCTTGTGCCGAGGTGTCTTGGGCCGAGGTGTCCTGAGCCGAGGTGTCTTGGGCCGAGGTGTCCTGAGCCGAGGTGTCTTGTGCCGAGGTGTCTTGCGTTTTTTTTTTTTTTTTGGCCACCCCGGCACCAGCCGCGGTGGACCTTGGCAGCTTGCCGAGGTGGACCTCGGCAGCTCGCCGAGGTGAGCCTCGGCAGCTCGCCGAGGTGGGCCTCAGCAGCTCGCTGAGGTGGGCCTCGGCAGCTCGCCGAGGTGGGCCTCGCCGAGGGTAGACCTCAGCACGCTGCCGAGGGTAGACCTCGGCACGCTGCCGAGGTGGTGCCAAGGTTCACCCCGGTGTTGTGCCGAGGTGCGTTAGGCCAATTTTTTTTTTTTTTTTTTTTTTTTTTTTTTTTTTGCCGTGTGTTAGCCTCTTCAACAAAGTCCTATGAGACTATGTCATCGGGCTCTCCCGTCGGGGTTGGTACGAGACGCTGGACCTCATGCCCCCTTAGGGTACGTTAGCCTCTCGGGCTAAGTCCTTCCGGACTACGCCACCGGGCTCTTCCGTCGGGGTTTGTACGCGAGGTCGGACCTCGTGCCCCCTTAAGGTGCGCCAAACCGGTTGGGCCCAGTCCTGCCGGACCAAACCACCGGGCTCCTTCGTCGGGGTTTGTACGCGAGGTTAGACCTCGTGCCTCCTTAGGGTGCGCGTTAGCTGCTCGGGCACAGTCCGACAGGACTGTGCCACCAGGCTCTTCCGTCGGGGTTGGTACGCGAGGTCGGCCCTCGTGCCCCCTTAGGGTTGATGTCCAGCTTGACCACCGGGGCGTCTCGGTGGGGGAGGGGCCCATCTAGCAGGTCGGCGTCGGTGAACGTGATGGGCTCCCTCTTTGGTTTCTTCTCGTGGGGGTACGTGTGACCTCCCCCACGTACAAGCTCCTCATCCACCTCTTCCGCTCGGCTGGCGAGTCCCCTCCCTCGGGCCCCCCAAAGATAACGTAGATAGCCCGTTTCTTCGGGGGCTGGGAGTCCTCCGTCGTCTTCTCCTCTTCCTCGGAGCTGTGGTCGTGGTGGTCCCTCTTGCGGGGAGCCGAGGTGGATGGCGCCTGGCCACCCCCATTCCGCCATACATTGCCCTGCTTCTGGCCCTGGGCCTGGTCCTGCGCCTGGCCGGGCTTCTTAATGAATTGGCCGAGGTAGCCCATTTGGATGAGCTGCTCGATTTGTCTCTTTAAGAGGATGCATTCGTCTGTATCGTGTCCCTTCTGCATGCCGAGGTGGGACTCGGGTCCCCCGTCCCGGTGACCCCCGCGGGCCTGCCTCTTGTCGCGGCGGGGCCCGGGGTCCGTGGCTCGGCGACCTCCGGGTGACTGACTGTCGTCGTGCCTGCCTGCGGGAGCAGGATTCTGCTGGTGGAGGCTCATTAGCGGCAGGCCTTGGGCCCAACCTCTCTCGGGCTGGCACCCGGCTGCCCAGCCTCTCCGTGGCGGGCCTGGTTTGATTTGACCTCCTTCCGTCGTCCTCCTGACGTCGGTCGCGTCGTGAGTCCCCTCCTCCCCGTGTGTCCGTCCAACGGGGTGAATTGACCTCCCCCTGGGTGACAGGTACCTGGGGTGGTCGGGTGCTTGGACCGCTGCGCCCCCGGGTGGAGGCAGGTTGAGGAGATGCAGGTAACCTTCGGTTGACGCCTAGGTCGGCAGGTATACGAACCCGGAGGTCCGCCACGACTCGGGCCAACCCTGTGGAGGCTTGCTCGAAGACCGCCACCCCCTCCCGGATGAGGTCCAGGTCCTGAACAGGGGGGGGGGGGGATTAAGGAGCTCCACCACTGCGGGGGTTGGTGAGCTGGGCCCTCAGATCTCCCCCCGACCTGGTGGCGTTGGCCGGTTGGATGCTTGGGGCAGGGGCCCCGTTGGGGCCGTTCCCGTTCGCGACGGGCTGGGTGTCGCGGGAACCGTTGGTGTGGCGAGAGTTGGATCTCGATCTCGTCATAGTAGCTGGTCGCGATAGACCACTGGATATAGAACACGCTTGAGCTGGTACAACAGCTCTCAGCAAGAGCACCAATGATGGATTTAATTAACCCGGGGTGGACCCGAATCAATAAATCCGGATAAGAACTTAATATAATAAATAATAAACGAAATATAGAACGATGTCGTAAAGGTCGCTGGGGACCGTA